TCACTCCATTGATGAGAAAGTTAGATACCCTCACTGCCGCAAGGCCAATTCATCAAATATAAGACGTTCCTAAAAAATAGGGTAATATATGACATTAGGGAATGATGATTCCAATTGAAGATCCAAACTTACTTGTTCTTCACCTTAAATTGGTGCTTCATGAAACTTAGGTAGATCACTATCCCGACCAGGAGGCTCTCATTGCAGAGCGTGCGCATGGAACAGTTTCTCGAAAACAATGTCCGACTCACTACTGTCATTATAGTGTGTCGATGATCGATTTTGTGTTAATCTCTGGGTCAACTCCTCTACTTGCTTTCTCAAATTAGTGATATTTATATCTCGGAGGTCCTGTTCTCGCTAGATCGGATGATTCCCTGTATCCGACCATAGACTATGTCTACTTGCCATGATACCTATCGACGAACACTACGATCTACAAGAATGAACTGATACTTTGATAACACCTTACACTATTGAGATTACCGGCCACCAATAGCCGGTAAAATAACCGCTTTTAAAAGAGGAAAATAAAAAAAGGATAAGAAATATGTAAGAAGATGACACAGACATAGGGATCCGAGAGCACGGCCACATATCATCAACAAGAAAAGACGAAAAGAAAAACAATACCCAAACTCGCTCTCTCTACAAGATAACTTTTTTTTTTATTCAACCAAAAATTCATCTCTATTTACAATGCACGCCTTCTTTTGTTTTGTACTTCATCAAAACTCCTTATCTCCTAATAACAAACGAAACTCCTTTTCTCTTCCTAAACATATGAAAATCTTGAAAATGAATGGTCTAGATAATGTGTTGCAAGATGCATTATTTCTTGGCTGAAAATTCTTTTTTTTTTTTTTTAATATTATTCATATTCAAACATCTCGATGTCAAGATAATAAATTCGAAGGTTTTCAACATTAAAATAACCTTTTTCGATGGATTTTTGAGGTGTATCTTTAATTCTACATTTTAAGGCTGGAACCTTATATATACTTTTTTCATATATAAAATTATATAATCTATTAATAACTAAGTTGGATCTGGATTGGATCTAAGTTACCTGGATCCAATCCAAGTTACTATTTGCATCCATATCTGAACCGTCGAATCAAAATATTGCATCCATACATGGATTTGAATAGAATATGAAATCCGAGTTTCGGACCCAAACTGGGTAAATTCTCAGCCCCAACGACTTTGTTGTGCACGCTAGTGAAATGCAAATCGTCTGGATGGGGACTCAAAGCCAACTTCGTAAGGTGTTTTAAAATATTGGACACAGAAATAAGGGGTATAAAAGTTGATCACTTGAAGGTTATTGTGGTTTATAGTTGAAATTATATGACTACCAAGGCAGCCCACTGTTCTGCCATGCTATCCAGATGTAGGTTAAACAATCGAGATTTATAGCCCACTGCCCAATAACCTCTGTTTGTGTGGATCACAATATTACGCCACTCCAATTTTCTTTGTAGATCTCTTCATCAGCTTCACTCTAGTGCTTTTAAACAATACGATTATTGGATTTTCATGATCATTTAGTCCAGTAGTTGAATGACTCAGTAGTGTTTGATGTGAGATGATAGTATATTGCCTTGGGAAATAGGCATTCCAGGGGCTATTGCATAGCCGACTCATATGATTCTCGCATGGTAGGCATCTACTCCTTGAAAGCTTCAGTCGTTATCGCACAGGCACCCCTTCAGAATATTCACACCAACACCGAGTTCCTCTTATCTCCTCCTGAAGTTTTCTATCAAATGGTACATTCAATACCTCAGATAACAGTTTGACAACATATGTTGGAGTGCTTGCTGCAGCCCTTTCTAATGATCAGATACAATTGTCAAAGGACGCAAATTTGGCCCTTGATAGAACAAATCTTGTGGAATGCCGTTAAACCATAGCCAGCTTTTTGTAGTACTTTTCTCTACCATGAAAAATGTAATCGGGAAAATGCCACCATCAACATCCATGCCAATAGTGCACGACAAGATCCCCAGGTATCTTCCCTTAAAAGAGGCACCGTCTAAGCCTATGAGTGACCTACATTCGTAGGCGGATCCCTAGAGGTATTAGTGGAAGCAAAGAAATTGAAAATTAGATTTGTCCTTAGAATCTGTCTGTATATAGCCTACAGTTTGGAGATCGGTGAGTTGTAGTTTCTCCAAATATAAAGATAGCTTGGTATATGACTTCTCATGTGACCACAATATCTTTTCCATTGCAATTTCTTTGCCCTGCGAAGCTTGCATGCATGATAATGAGACACCAAGCTCACATAATATAATTTATAATATCTTCGGACGTCGGATCGATTTGATCATTTAATAGAGCTCTAATCTTTTTTGCTACCCGGGCTTCGTGCCAATGGCTGGCTGATGGGTCTCCGCATTTGTGGTCGTTCTCAACTTTCTCACTTCAAAGAAATTTGTGGAACTAAACCTGGAGCACCACACCTGCCATGTGTGCGTATCTCTAATACATATTGCAACTACAATCCTAATCATTTACTTCATAAAAAAATTGTGATATATGGCATAAATTTGTCGGTGGTTCGGTTTCGCTAGAAGGATCGAGAGAGGGAGAGAGAAGAGTTTTGACATTCATGTGTTCATCAGAACACATAAGCATTATCTTGACCCAACCATTGAAGTTGGTCATTTCCAATGCAAGATTTCATCAAAACATAAAATTCCATTTATCCATCTAAACATACAATGCCATTTGCATTCATGTATTCATCAAAAGGTACAAGCACCATTTTCATCCAGGCATATAACAATAGAAAACAGAGAAAATCAACAACCATAGTATTTTCCATTCAAGTAACTGACTGAATATACTACCCCAATATTAAGGTCTACAACATCTACATGGCACCATAATGGCCCAAGCATTATCAAAAGGAAAGTACAGTCGACGAAAAGCAACAAAACAACCATAGAAGAACAACAATGAATTAATGGGATCTTAATAATTCGAGTTTGATGAGAAGTCAGAAGAATCATCTGGGGTGTTGTGGACTCCCACTACTGGATGGCAATCAGTGAAGCACGCAATCGACTGGGCCCGGGCTTGAATTGCATGGAGAGAGGGTTATCTCCAGCTCTCTAGAGTATTCGAACCACATCAGTGTTTGGGGGAAGATGGTAGCGGATGTCTATATAATGGGTCCGACCAAGTGAATAAATAGTTGTTCCCTCCTCAAGTATCACTTTGCATTTTCCGGCATAAGAATAACATGTTTCTGGGTTTTCCCCACAGATTTTCTAAGTTCCATAATGCGTTTAGCCCTTCACATTTTTACTATTAGTATTGCTGCTAGATGCCACGATAGAATAAAAATCCTCAAAGGAAGAAACAAAGGACTTGGTGCTTTTGGAAAAGGCCTCAAGCATTAGGCAAATAATCGCTAAACAAATAGACAAATGTGTAGTTTGATACAATTAAGCCACTGTTTGGTGACAAAAATATTCAGCAAAACAAATAAGAAATAAAAGAAAACATTGAACCATTTGCTAAACCAGAATAGGTAACAAATATTCATCCATAACACCAAAACGGATTAACTAACTACAACATCGATAACACCAAAACGGATGAACTAACTACAAAATCAACCGTAAAACAGAAAACAATACTCACCGAAGAAATAAATAAATAAAAATAAACAAAACATAAGCGGTAATAGCTAGGGTTTAATTTGATGACCATACCCTGAATAACTCCAACACAGCAAAAGCAAAAATATTAATCGATACCGATAAGTAGCATATGCAATGTAAGAACAATTTCAACGGAAGGGAAAAAAAAAAGGAGGGGGGGGGGGAAGGGAGGGAGAGATTGAGAAACCCAATTGAAACTCTATTATTATAAAAACAAATTTCAAGAACAATCTAAATTCATGCTTTCATATGTCAAATTAAATGCATTAAAAAATAAAAAGAAAACAACAATAAAAAACAAAAGAAAACAAAAGATAGAAAAAACACATGTACCCATCAACCCAAAATCCTTCACTAATTCACCCTAATAAAAAAAGAGAAATTAGTCTGCATACCATAAAAGATACAATATTTAACATATTGTCTAATTGTAACTATTCCAACTCAAGACAATGTGTCGTTTTATGAGTATTTTGATATTATATCATAAGATATGGGTAAAGTCCTAAATTATTCATCTCTTGTGGGCAATTATTAGGTAAATCTCCCTAAGAAAGCACCAAAATCAAAACCTTTTTTCTCATCAATCAAAAGATCCAACAAAAACAAACAATAGCAAAAATTAAATCTTGCATAATATGGAGTCCTAGCGCAACACAAACTTGGGAGGGTTTGAGGATAGAGAGTTAGGGGGTAGAGAGAGGGGGAGAGAGAGAGAGGGATGTGAGGAGTGGAAGAGGAGTTTAAAAAACACTTTTGAACAACCATTGTATCAGAAATACCATTTTTTATCTTCCAAGTTATCTCCCTTAGAACTCTTTGTACAGAGTTGCTCCTCTTCAAAAGGCCTAAGGCCTCTGATAGTTTTCCTTCACACTTGAAAGGTCCTTGATATTCAAGCTCTTGATCTGAATGATCTATCCAAAATTGAGATGCTTTGCTGACCTGCCCATCTGATCCCAAATTCCATATTCATCTCGTCCAAATTTCATTTTTAGCGGCTTTGCATATTAGCAGTTTATTGTCGAGAGCTGACCCATGTCTGCTAATCAATCCAGGTCATAGGAGTTGCAGAACAAGTTCTACAGAATAAGGAAGAATCGACTAACTTTGGCCAGTATCAGGACAAAAAGATTCGAACCCAAATCATGGGAAACCAAGGTATTGGAGATAAAACAGCTAGCGCTAGGAACCATACAAAGTGGGTCTCCAATGGTTGCTAGGAGATAATCTGGTAAAACTAAAGCTTAACACAGACATAAGCTAGGCAATGGACTTTCTGCCCAAAACCCACACAATGAGAGAGAGAGTTCCACCAAATGCTAAACTAAAACCGGTACTTTAGTCATAAGCAACCCATCTACATTCTCATAAACCACAATTATCACATCTGAACACTTTTCATGGTTAACAACAGTGTTTAACAAGCCGAAGTAGGGTCATTGACAATGAATCGGTGCCCCCCCAAAACATCAGTCCGAGCACAAAGCAAACCCCCAAAAACTAACAAAGAACTCAAATACCAAAAATTCAACAAAACACCATGTTCTTTTCTCCGTGCATTAGTAGGAGGTGATGCTGTACGTGGAATTAAAGGGATGAGAAAGAGGCTCGAATCACTCTTAGGATGTCAGTGAGAGTGACAAGACCAAGTAGCAGCCCATTATCATCCACAACCCACACCCTGTGGACATGGTGATCCACTGCCTTACCCATCACTTCGCCGAGGCTCGACCCCATGCCACATGTTATGAGGGGCCTTGGGGTTTTGACTGGTTCAGTTCTCGTTCCGATGCTTACCTTGTTCATGAAGTCGATGACAGGGAGTGAGAGCCATGTTTTCAGTGAAGAGCTCGGGCACCCCCTCAAATCAGTGGCTGAGAATGTCTCCACAAGCTTTTTACCTTTCCCCTGAGAAAGCATGAGGCAAACCAAATTCAATTCGTTTCCCAAACAAGTTTCACTTCATCAGAAACAAGGAAACAAATGCACGCCTTGCAGTATCTTGAGTCGTGTGCAAGCTATGTCTGTTTGACATCCTTATTTTAATCAATCTAGAATCATGAAAGATGAGATAGATCGGTCCTCGTGGAGGAGCAAAATGAGCACCCTGTTTTAGCTAGTATATTAGCAACCCATTTATTTTGCATCCTACGTAAATGATGCACATCCATAGAAACTTTAAATTTTTATACAAAAGATAACCCTCGAACTACAAGTGGTAGCGAAGATAGAACTGAAGATTCATCCTCAACCCGAAATCTTGACATGCATGGTAACATATTATATCATGTATTTATAGCTACCCAACACCTGTACATAAAATATGGTATTGTAACTAAAACATGAAACTATAAAAAAATGTTTAGGAGAATGGACCTCCTGGCTTGTGCTTCACTTCAATGGAAGTCATGTCAAAAGAATTATGTCCCAATTTGTAAGTAATATTTGGAGGTGCTTTAAATAATTATCCTTGAAATATATAAATAGAGGTAATTTGAAGAACTGAAATGATTGGGGTCAGCACAATTGGTTACAAGATAATAGCTTAACTTAGAGGGAGACAGAGATAAAGTCACCTTCAAATTTTATTACCATCTTTGTATTTGGGCGTCCCTCTTTGTATAGGTGCTTCCTAGTTAAATTCATGTGATCTGGTTATTGCCCAAGGTACTAGCAGGTCAGAAAGGTATTCTTTCCCTCAGTGGCTGTATTATGCCTGTTATTCTAGGTTAGCAGGTAAATGAATCTAACATAGTCCATCTCGAACATACCCAAGGAAACTCAAAACCTCATAGAGGAACCACAGAATATATTTTCTCCTAAAATTGTGGGGCTGGATTCCATTGAGTCCTCTGAAGAATGTGCGTAAGCCTAAGAATCAGAGTTGTCTAGGCATCATGACATATTTATGATGAACAAATGCTCCTATCAAAATAAAAATGCAAATTGGAATCCAAAAGGGAGAGCTAGTGGTGTGAAGTGGTAAAGGACAACTCATGCAAGGGAGCTTGAGGAGAAAAGTGTCCCAACATATTAGTGGCCTGGAGGCCATCAGAAGCTATATTGGAGGTGACGAAGACAAGATTCAAGCAGCATTAGGAAATAGGGGGAACCACCACCCATCATACAAATGCGTGTCTAGATACCCTTTGTTTCAATTCAGAAATATATCAAGAAAATGCAGCAACCTTGATATGAGAAAAACACATCGGATCAGTAGATGCTAAACTGCAATACATTCAATTTTCAGTCATATTCGATGATGACTAGAGAGCAAATAATACTATTAAAGAACATGTAAAATTACAATCATTGAATTTCACTTGAAGAAAATTTTCAATTGGTGGGGGAGATACCATGATAACCTTGTGGTCTTCCACTGGATCCTCAATGACGGGTACAGCACTCAAGGAACTACTTCTCATCCATCTAAGAACTTCTCTAACTGCCATATGCTTGGGAACAGCAAATACGTTCTCCTGAATCGCACCCAATTCACCAACACTGAGTGATGTAATCTTCTCTAGTTCTGAATCGTGTTCTCTTAAGAAACTCAAAACATCCATTTGTGAAAGCATTCGATAACCAGGTGAAGACTCTGCAAGTTCAAGTCCAGTAACATGATCCATGTGACCATCCATTGGAACTAAGGCCCTGTGGATGCCTTTGCTGAAGGCTTCCATGCAATCCAAAATACTGCATGAGAAAGAAAAAAACATGGAGGACAAATCTTTTAACTAAAGATGAAAGAGATCTCAATAATGGCTATAACTTTACTGACTTCTAGGTGGACTTTTGAACTTGGCATATTATCAAGAGTTACTCCCACCATGCATCAAATGAGAACCAAGACAATTTTACTTCTTTAAAAATAAAGAATGCATTTTTCACTAATTGATTTGAACACAATGTTTAAAGTATTGTTTGCAAGAAAAGGAAGCCAAGGCACAATCAGTGATAGAAAAGAATACAATGAATTTTTCTATTCACAGTAATGAAACAAAAACTTCTGAGTCTCCTGAAGAGAGAAAAATATCAGCTGGAAGTAATTTTCAGGTTGAAAGTGATGCACTTGGACATAAGACATTATGCACGTTTAGCTCCTTGGAGAACATTTCAAAACCCCCTCTTATCACTCCAGCAGTTTGTCCATTTAACTGATAAGGCAATCCTTAATTGGATTATATAAACTAGCTTTCACAATATACTTGAATACAATGACTGTGACCATGTTCCTAACTATACGCAGCCTAAAAAGGTTGTAAAGGGCCCTAATTCCAAGATCCTACTATTATAGGCTCATGGTTTATCTAGAGATGACGGACAAGTCACTTTGGTTAGTATCTGTTATTCCAGAAGAGATGCACAGGTACAGGTCTCCTATTTTATTTGTCAATAAAAAATTTAGAATGCCAAATACATGAAGCTTGCAGTAAACAACCCAGAAGAAGTTGAATATCTTCTTGGACAAGAAATTACATTATCTCCTAAAAGCCTTCACTTTCAACACCATCCAAAAAGATAGACAGAACCTGATAAACAATACCATGACAACTGCAGATTTACAAGGTTACTGGGGATCTAATACCCAGTTCATTTTATACAGAAGCCTAAAATGAGTTTCTTCTAAGTGATAGCCAGCAATCCAGGTATTTCACCATGAAGTTTATATCAGCAAGTGCACATAAGTAAAACTCTCTGTCTCAAAACTATGATAATGATTCTCATTGATTCCTATGTATGTTGATTCTTATTCTTGTACTTCTTTGTAATAATGGACTTCTCTGTATGTTGTACTCATGCAAAGGAAAATGAAGAAGGAAAACGAATTTCCAAATGCTAGAAAATCCACTCAACACAATTTTTCTTGGAACCATGATGATTAACTTGGGCAGCACTCTGAAAATACAGTTTCCAAAATATTCAGACAAGGGAATATGATGAACTGGCTTGAATAATGTTTACCTTACATGAATTGGTACTTTCTTATTGATCAATGGAATGCTATCAACAGGGTTTCTATTACCCGATGCCATAACTAGCTCACTCAGATAACCGTGCTAGTGCATTGTGTTTTCTCAAAGCATAGTGAGCATGAAAGTCACAGAAGAGAGAACCCACCACAATATACATCTATCAAGAGACAGGTTATTAGTTGGTCAAAAAAATACATTGCGAAATATTAAATGGACTCTCCTACAGTATAGCTTGCAATGCCTAAATATCCATCTCCAGGGACAGTATCTAAGCACAAGATACAATCTGCTCATAAGCAGAGGAATCATATTGTTGATGTATTCCAGTTCCTTTCTAATGTGAATAGGTATTACCAGGTGCACTATTGTCATCAAACTCTATAATAACTCTATAATATTATCCAATGTGGAGTTTGATACTTTCACTGATGGAAGTGTATCACACAATGTCTGTTCATGTGGTGGTATTGTTAGCTCATTGAGTTGCCATTTAATTACAAATAATACATAGCCTCCACAAATATTTATCATAAAACAGTGTAGATGGATCTATTACTCTCATTACTCTTTTTAGAAACCGCACACACTAATTCCTTTACAATATTAATCAGAAAACATATACCGGGTACAACACCGTATTCCTGCTTTTCATCATCGTAATCCATTCAAGTTCCCCAGAACCAATGGCAAACGTTGTATGATAGACCCAAAATAATTGATAACATCCATTTGTTTTTTAAATAACAATCTTCAGAGGAAAATGACACAGAGAGCACACCTATTGTCATATATCATTAAAGTCAAGCAAAACTATCCCATATAAGTCATCCTTCTACACTAGATTAAGAAAGAGGAGCGGCAATGCAAAACGAAATAGAAAAAGAAGAAGAAACTCATTATATGAGTCAGGCTTTTGGCTTTTGCTGCAACAGGGAACAAGAAAAATCAGAAATAAAAATAAACAGAGGAAGAAGAACAAACCCATTCTTTCGATCAAGCTTTTGCTGTTACAATAACAAAGATATAAATATGGGTAATGAAACCAATCAAGGAGGTAGTAGAAGATAATCAACATTAAGTGAAAAACACTGAAAACACACCTTTAGTGCAACCAAAGCACGAGCAAAAGAGAGAGAGAGACCGATACCGAACCTATTACTGGGATTAACAGTCCACAAGCTGAGCCCCTCCAAGCAATGGCCAATAAGAGAGGAAACGGGAACATTCATTCTCTCCTCAAGGTCAGCCATGTCCATATAATCAGCTATGTGAATGAGTATATCAAGCATGCTCACCATCCCTATATACTGTTTCCTTGGAGCACCTGTGACCTTGTCTGATTCAACGATGGCGGATCCTCCCGCTCCAATCCAACGGCCGGGTGGCGCCGCCACTGGTATAGCCACGATATCATTGGCCACGAGAGCGTTAATGGTATCGGTGAGAGAAGCGGTGTAGGGGACCTCAACAAGCCGACGCTTTCGTTCCATGAGATCCCTTACGTTCCTCTTCCAAATCCCATGTTCCAATTCCTCTTCTTTCTTCTCCTGCAACTCCATGGCTCTTCTCTCTCTCTCCAAGAAGTTTCAGATATGGTAAAAAGAGAGATGACAGAGATATGGGTTCGTTGAGTCGACGTATTTATGGGTTTGCATGGGCGACACGCAGGGGTTGTGGGATGAGCAGGTGGCAAGTGTAGAGAGAAAGGAACGTAGAGAGAGATCGTCGCTTGTTATTGGTTACAATTAAAGTTGTTAGCAAAGGCATAGCTTTTCTAAATCCACTATATGAATGAATGGCTGACATGGATCCAATCACAATATCTCGTTTTTATATTGTTTTATTTTTATTTTTTCTACAAAATATTTGGAGACTGAATTTTGAGTGTCAATGCATCTTGGTCATTTTATTTTAAAAAATGTTTTTTGGTATTTTTTTAGGTGTGTCTCAATTTGTAAAAAAGAAATTGAAAATACAATACTATAAGGCATCGGATCTAGATCAAAATGTTAAGTAACTCACTTGATCTAAATTGAACGACTTGGATGGGAAGGGAAGTATACAACTTCTACTTTTTTTTGACAAATGTTACTAAATTTATTGATAATGGGAGATTACATCAAGGAATTATATTATTTGAAACAAGCAAATAAGGCAACGAAACACCAGTATTAGCGAGATCATCTGCCCAAGCATTGACCTCCCTATACACATGATGGAAAGAGAAGGTCCAAGACTCCGCCATGTCTAAGATTTGGATCCAAATTGATTTCTGCTCCCATGATACCCTTTGTTCTTTATTGCATCATTTGATTATATTGATAGAGCCCCTCACCACCATACAACAAACGCCCAAGTTTCTATTTTTCAAAAGCTTCAAACCATGAAATAGAGCCAAAATTTCAGCATGATTTGCAGAAGCCAAACCAATGGGCCCAGCATAATTAAATATTGTTGCCCCTGTCCAATCCCTTAGCACTCCTCCTATACCTGCTTCCCTAGGATTACCCAAAGAACTCCCATCAAAGTTAAGTTTGAACCCACATAACAAAGGTAGAATCCCAATAGTATGAGGCCTGCCTCTAATCGAACCCATCTGGAACAAGTTAACTAGATTCAATGTAACATCCGCCCACCCCTCTTTCGTAATAGACAACTAGCACCACAAGTTATGTTTAACATTATTGAACATACTATCAAAGGTTAAAACATCCCCATTAAAGGTTTGGTTATTACCTTCCTTCCGAATTTCACACAGTACACTGCCTACTTGAGGTAGATTTGGGAAGACCAATTGGGTTACAATCCCCACAACACTCTGAAGCATTGCAACGCTCACTCCCATCAATGAAAAGAAGCTATACCAAATCCTTGAAACAAAGTGACAACATAAAACAGGTGAGCCCTAGACTCTCCATCCTCCTTGCACATGAGACAAATGTTCGGCAAAATTTTATCTCTTTTTGATCAAATTATCTATGGTGAGAATTTTTCTTGGGCCGCTCATCATACAAAATCTTGAACCTTGAGAGGGATTGGCCACTTCCAAATTTGAGCAACCTGTGGAAAGGACCAACGCCACCTATTATGACATACAATCTATAGTCAAATTTAACCAAAAATTGCCCATCACTTTCCACCTCCCAAATGACATCATCTTCCAAACTGCGAGGAATATAAACTTGATCTGACTCCTTCCAAAGTGCACTTAATCGAGAGTACACATCGTCATTCACCTTCTATATGGTAGATTTAAATTCCAAACCCACCAGATTTCCTTGAATCTCATAGTGCTCAGCCCCTTAGCATTAGGTTGGGCCACCTTTAACAAATATTTCTGGAAAGGCAATCTTGATTGACATCTCTCCTAACCACTTACAATGCCAAAATGATATTTGGTCGCCATTACCAGCACACCACCTCATATTTCGATCTAGCTAATATTTTCATAGGTAGATAGATCTCCAAAATTTTGATCGCTGCATATTTCCCCTTCTATTACCAATCCACATTCCTTATTTATCAATGCCATATTTCACAAGTAAAACTTGATGTCACATATGATATTTCAGATGAAAGTTGTGCCACTACTATTTACACAAGAGAGCCTGATTAACAAGTGAAATCCTTCTAATGCCAAGGCCCCCTTCATTACAGAAGATGAAACTTTCACGCTTCACTATAAGAGCCCCACAGAAAGTTGTGCATAATTCCTTCAAATTTCTTTGCTACAGAACTTGGCATCTGGATGAGCGACATTTGATATATGGGTAAGTTTGCCAAACACGATCTAAGAAGAGTTACTCTCCCCCAATGATACAAATTTAGGCTTCCAAAGATCCAACTTAAGTTGAACTCGTTGCACGACTTTATCCCAAACCGAAACTGGTAATCTTGAATCTGAGATAGGTAGCCGTAAGTATGTAAAGGGAAAAGAGTAAACTTTACAACCCATATTATTTGCTAGGTCTTTCACACCAGTAGGACTGCAATTAATCCCTATCAATAAAGTTGTTTCAAATTTTACTTTATGGCCCATTGCTCCTTCACAACATCTCAGAAATCTAGCAATATTGTTTACTTGTATCTCATGTGCCTCACAGAAAGTGTAGAGTATATAGGGATGCTTTTGGCCTAGAGAAAAATGAGAGCAGAAGAGAAATCAACTATAGATTCAATGTTTTTCGAAGTGCCTATGAAATTTTCTAGAATTCCTTTCTAGCCAAATATTCCAGATTAGGACATATACTGAAAAGGTGCCAAAGCTTTTTCCCATTTTAGAGCCAAATATTCCAGATTAGAACATATACTGAAAGGTGCCAAAGCTTTTTCCCATTTTAGAGAAAGGGAGGGAAATAAAATATTCAAATAGAATATTTAGGTTATGAGGTGTCACCCACTTCAGACCAAACAGTTGGAGGAGGGATCCCTAGAGGGTGAGAGAGACTTTGCAGCGGATAAAGAGGTGTGGAGTGGATTCCTCTTCCTCAAGACACATAATGCACTGGTTAGGGAGAGAGAAGCCTCTCCTTTAGAGTTGATCTAGGGTAAGGGTCTTTCCTTGAAGGAGGATCTAGATGAAAGCTTGGATTTTGAGGGGAACAGGTAGGGCCCAAGAAAAATTGTGTAAGCGGCTTAAGGTTCTGGTTGGGGAGGAGTGAGGAGTAAAAGGAGGAGACCGAGAATGTTCCCCAAGGGGCCACAGGCCAAATTAATGTATCCTATTGGGGGGAACAGGTAGGGCCCAAGAAAAATTGTGTAAGCGGCTTAAGGTTCTGGTTGGGGAGGAGTGAGGAGTAAAAGGAGGAGACCGAGAATGTTCCCCAAGGGGCCACGGGCCAAATTAATGCATCCTATTGGGGGAGGGTAGAGAAGATGGGGTCAAGGATTTGAAGCAGAGATAGCAAGAGAGCAGATTCCTGATCCGTGAGATTCTTCTAAAAATTGGTATCCAAACCAGATTGGAGCCATTGAATTCTACATAGTCTGCTATAAATGATTTAGGGTCTCTTGCCACAAGGACGAGAGCAGGGAAAGTCATTGAAAGAGGAGAATTTCCAATCCACAAATCAGACCAGAAGAGTATGCGAGTGCCATCTCCTAACCTACATCTGATGCGTTGTAGGAAGGCGTTCCTGGTTGTGGAGATGCTTTTCCACACTCCCGAAGATCTATGCCGTGGGGCTCTAGGGAGCCATTCCCCACTGCTAGGACCAATATTGAGTTATTTATTGGTGCCCCATTATATTGATTAGCATAAACATACTAGATTTGAAAGGGTTTTGCATCTCTGTGTATGGATAACTTCTTGGTGAGGAATTCATGACACTGGTGCGAGGAACCATGCTTATAACAAGAACTGTCTATACACAGAATTTCTGAGTTGTGTTAATGCTACATATTACTGCCTTCTCCCACCATGTTTTCTATCCTTGGCCACTATTTTTGTGACCAAATAGCTCAACATATTGTTTTGATAACCAAAATCTGAAAGGGGTTATTTCTTCTTTGGTATTTGTTATTCTTTTCCATTTATGAATTCAATTTTTACTATTCTTATCAGAAGTTCTATATAAGATCATATTGTATGCATCTACAAAATAATGTTCAACCAAACATGGGGCATGTGTGTTCCTTACTTTGTGCTTTCTAATGTACTAGTAGTGAGATTGTATTTTTTGGCTTTTCTTGTTTGCATTGATACATCACAAATTAGAACAGAGGATTTTGGATTCTAAGAAATGTGGCAGGGGATTCTCATTCTAATTCAAAATTAGTTTAGGATGCAAACCAATAGCATTTCTATAAGATTGCTTGAGACTGCTATTCATCTTCTATACGCTCATCTAGCTGAAGAAATATAAATAGCAATGATGAACCTCATTGATTACATCACAATGCGTGAGAAATTTAGGATGATTGACGGATGATTGCTTTGCAGTACAACGCTACAATATACTGAGGAGCTATTTTCATCATGTACAATATTTTCTTTCAAGGTTTATGCTACTCTCAATAAGCTTGAACAAAACACTTTACAGATTGATGCATGTTTGATATTTTTGCTTCTCATTCATTAGGTGAGTCATATTTGATGTAAGGTTTTATGAAGAATGGTTAGGCAACTTTAAATACTGGTTGCTTGCCTCAATTCCAAGTTCCCCTAGAACCCCCTTTATCTCAGGAAATACAACACAAAATCAATTATACTAGCCCCATTTACAGGGGTCTCATCCAAGGAGCAGATAGCCTGTTATGACCCCAAATAGAAGAAACAACAGTTCATATCTATTCTTCATGAATAGTTTGAGCATCACTCGTGAGATCACAGTTTCACCTCAACATAAAACTATTCTCAAAATCCCTTAAACTGTAAAACTATCATTATCTCTGAGCTCAAGAAAACCTTCGGTTAGGGGGTATTTTGGTCATTTTCCCCTATGTATGGGGAAATTGATTTAGGAGACATTCCTGCCTTCTCAATTCTCTCATAACCCTAAATCTTGACACAAAAAACGAAAAAATAAAATTTATTTCTTAAGATTTTGTAAACATTACCCATCAAAAAAAAAAAAAAAGATTTTGTAAATGTTGTATTTGAAGAGCATGAATTCAATCACAGTTTTTTTGGATTCAATTTGACTTGGAAGATCAATACAAGTTATATGTGTGGTGCGAAATGTGAATGGACATTTACTTTCAAACTAT